ATGTCTGTTATCACTAAGCAGATGTAAACAATCGCCCATTGACTACAGTCTTCCTTCAAAATAGGGTTTATCCCGTCGGTTCTTTACCTAATGAAGGTTTTAACTATTTAAACGTACGAGGAATCCATTCCTGCTTTCCATTTTGATCAAAAAATTATCGATTGACTCGATATTTGCATTTGAAAAGCGGCTGCCATTTCCTTACGGGAAAATACATTGTAAGTGATGAAGAAACCAGGTCTGTCATATCATTTCACGTCACAAGTATGGCGGACCCGAAACGACCGTTTTGAAAATCCTAATTCTGAGGCGTTTTTAAGTTGATTTTTTGGGGGTTTCCGGTGATCAAAAAACTCCAGGAAAATTCCTGTGACATCAGGAGCCTTAGCTCTTTCGATTTAAGCAATAAAAAAAATCGGTGCAACAGGCCCATTGTTATGGATGAAAAAAGGAAGATTTATGTGTGTTTATCCAGGACCAGGTCTTCTAATTATTAAATTCAAAACAAAATGCCGAATTGTCGGAATGCATCTGATCGTGTTTACTGCAAGATGACACACCAACCTCCCTCTCCCCCCCCCCAAAAAAAAAATCATGACATGTTAATAAATCACTACCCTTACCAAGCATTATGTTTGAGAGACGGATAGAGTTGCCGAGTTGATTAAATATGCTCATAATATTTGATGGCTCAGAATGAGTGAATTGTTAACGTATAACAATAAATGGATCGTATTTAGCAAGAAGGAACCAGCGTGATTCCAGTGTTTTCAAAATCGCGCAAATTCTTTTTTTCCTTTTGAAAATATTAAATATATATATACACCATTTAAACTTACACAATCATTACCCTTTAAAATCATCATTTTTTTGGTGGGGTGCAAAAGCTATTTGCTATTTTGGGAGATTTTTTAGATAATTATGAAGAAGCAATATTTACACAACACTGTACTCGCGCTGGTTCCTTTTTGCTAAATGCGATCCAAATGATGTATTGCGGTTTGTGCGTGCTTTACAACTCGGCAATAAGGCACGAGTATACCTAACTAAGGCAGAGACTCATTGCGTCAGTGAGGTCGCAGGTTCTGAGACTGATGCTATCATGTGCCATTATTGGGCAAGCGAAAACGAGAGTTGGGTAAACTTGTCAGGTTGAGCTGAGGGTTTATGGTCAAAATAAAAGTGAGGAGAGAGCCAGTATGTGATGAAAGAGAGGGAGAGAAAGACAGAACAGGAATGGCTTCGTCGTGAGTAGGAGATAGAAGAGGACACACAACTTTTGGGGTCTTCTCATTAGTTTATGGCTGGTCCTGAGGAAAGGGACGTAAGTCCATAAAAATTCGAAACTAAGTTACTGACATCAGTACATAGATCATGGGCACAAAAATCGGCGTTCCATCCGTTGTAAGGGTGTAAGTGTAAGTCCATTTCCGCGTGAGCCCTGTGGCTCATATAACTCCATGCTTTCTGGGGGCTCATTTCGAAATTGAGATACGCTTTTTTAGAATATTAGATAGAATTTTACGTTGAACCTCCAGATTCAATTTTTGACTCGACTTGACTAAGATCTTAATTATACGCGGGGAGGAAACTCTCAGATTTGTCAAGCTGATACTTTTTTTAAAAAGATTTAATTACCCACAAGTTTCAAACATTTTCGAACTGCAAAGAGAGTACAAAGTCTCTCAATCTCGGAAAAGAAACTTTTTTACGCACGTGAGTGATTATATTATCTTTAAAAAATTTATCATAGCAACTGATACCATTCCTCCGAAAATTGCTTCGGTAAGCAAAGGTTCTTTCCCTGATGCTTGGCGGCATTTGGAAGAGAAGAGTTGGACCGTGTTTATCAGAGAGGAACCAACCCACATTTTCGAAAACATTGAGTTAAGAAATCTTTTGAGTTCTACTATAGTCGTTTATTTTCTGCTGCCAAAATCTAAAAGTCGAAAAAAAGAAATTAGTTTGGGAAAAGAGAGGTTAAAGTTCATTTCCTGCGTTGAGCTTTACGCAGGAATAAAACTTCAAAGCTTTTTTTCTCAATTTCAACTTAATGTGGATTGGTTCCTTTCCATTGAACTCGGTCCAGTTGAGAATCAGCAGAAAAAAAGAAGACGGTTCACTATATACTGCCATGCTAAGGAAAAACGCCATATTAACATTCGAGAGTTGCCAAATTTTCTTTGATAAAACGTTTATGTCTGAGGCAAGTTATGACTATGTTTCCTTGACATTTTCAGGAACTTCAAGTCACATTGCGGACAAAATTATCTTAAAAATTGGAAGGAAAATATTCATATGTTTTCCAGGAAAGTCGTGTTAAATCCAAGGAAATTTGGCAACGCCTGAAGGTTCACACGACGTTCTTCCTAAGCAAGGCAGTATAGATGGGTTCTATTCAGGTTGCCGAGAATAAATGAGCTATCAATAATGATGGGACAGAAACTAGAGTTCAAGGCTGAAAATTTCCAGAGCAAACATGAGCGATCGGAGGAAACGGACGGAAGAGGACAAAAAGACCAAGACAGCCTTGAACTGGACGATGCCACCCGTGCAAGTCGTGGAACGCCACCGTGAACTCGCCTGGGATTTTCGATGAATATTTCAGGCGGCCCCTGCCTGGCCAAGGACTAAATGCAGTTTATGGCCTCGTGCATCGTGCATCTGGAACCCGCATCAAGCGCCATGAGAAAATTCGGTGGTATTTTAACAAATAAATACTCTGGTGTTATTTTTTGAGCCGAAAATTCTCAGCATCCAAACTAATGATGATAAACAAATTCCGACGAGTAAAGGGCTGAGCTCATTAAGTAGTGGTCGAAAAATTGTCTGATTCTTAGTGCATAGTTTGGGCTCCGAGACTAAAGATGATAAGTCAGGATTGCAACAGATGATTCCTGATGAAAGACTCCTATCGATAGCGTTTGAAGGATTAAAAATCGACCGATTTTATTTCAGTTCCATAAAATGGGTATCATTAATTTTCATGCTAGGCTATAGTAATAGGCAAGACAGCCTAATGGCTGTAAGTGCTATCTCCTCCATGCTTTTAGGGTTGCGTTTTGAACACACAACAATCACATTTTCAAGTTAGAAATCGGCAGAAAAGTGCGGCACTTTACTTTAAAGCACTGATTTCATTGGCTCTCTTGAGGAATAATGTAACTTACTTCTGTCTTACCTGAAACTGAGTCATTTTTTGCACACTTACGGCGTTATTCCCACGTGTCTCCTTTTCATACAATTAAGAAGAATTGGGCGTATTTCTACCAAACAGAACTATGTGCGGGTGGGAAAGATCAGGTGTGCTCGTGACAAGGTGGATAAGAAACAATGTAATCAGTGGGCGTGATTCCTTTCGGTGAAGTGGAAAAGTGGTATTTTGAATTCAGCAAACAGAACTATGTGCCAACTGAATGCGGGACTGATGAGCCGTGGACATGGCAAACGAGCGTTATGGACAGGGCTCATGAGTTAAAGCAGAGGGAGGGTGACAAAGGAGACGACTTCGTTGCCGCTGACGTCACTGGCGCTTTATAATTACCATGCATCCTTACCGCTCGAGAACGGGCACACCCCATATTTCCCACCCGCACATAGTTCTGTATGGTAAGGTATGGTCCAGTTTTGCTGTTTTAGCTAGATCAGTGATTTCATCTGAAAGAGATTAGACGAATTTTGAAGGAAACCCGATTTCAAAAATTCAACACTCACTGCTCTCTTCGCTATCCCGACAGGGTAGTGAAGCCATTTTCAAGAGTGCAGTGCTGCCGTGCTAAGGAAAAACGCCGTATGAACATTCGCGAGTTGCCAAATTTACTTCGATAAAATGTTTTTATATATGAGGAAAGTTATGAATATTTTTCCTTGAAATTTTCAGAATCTTTAGGTTGAATTGCGAACAAAATCGTCAAAAAAATTGGGAGGAAAATATTCATAAGTTTACCAGAAAATTCACGTTCTGTGAAAAGAAATTCGGCAACGCCTGAATGTTCATACGGCGTTTTTCCGTAGCACAGCAGAGTGGTCATCTCGACGCGTTGGGCGGTTGAGAGGTGCAGGTGAGCTCGCGCGCGCGGCACACAGTGGAGCGAGTCAGTAAGAGAGGTCGGACATGACATTTTTAATTAAAACTGCACATTTTGATGTTTAAATCGTCATATTTTATAGTGTAAGGGGTGGTTTTCATATTAAATTTCACGCGGAAACCAATGGAATCACTTTTAAAACCTCAATGTTTTGCATAAACGGAGTTATAAGCGTATAAAGTTTCCAAATTTTGTTCGACCTCTTCACGGAGAAAAAAACTTCGTGCATGGGACCCGAAGTTGAGGTCATATGGATCTCTGAAGTTTTCAGATCACGCATCCGAAAACTTGAGGTCCAACTGCCGAAGTTCGGGTCAGACATCTGAAGCTGTCAGTACGTACCGGAGTACTTCAGGTGTGTGACCTGAACCCTTAGGTATATACCGAAGTACTTCAGAAGTCTGACCCGAACTTCGGCAGTTGGACCTCAAGTTTTCGGATGCGTGATCTAAAAACTTCAGAGATTCAAATGACCTCAACTTCGGGTCCTATGCATGAAGTTTTTTCCTCGGTGAAGAGGTCGGACAAAATTTGGAAACTTTAAACGCTTATAATTCCGTTTATACAAAACATTGAGGTTTTAAAAGTGATTCCTTTGATTCCCTCGTGATATTTTCTATGAAAACCACCCCTTACAATATAAAATATGAAGTACTTCAGATGTCTGATCCGAACTTCGGCAGTTGGACCTCGAGTTTTCGGATACGTGATCCAAAAACTTCAGAGATTCATATGACCTCAACTTCGGGTCCCACACAAGTTTTTTCTCCGCGATTCTATTGACTCGATCCACTGTGCGGCGCGGCGGATCCCGAGCGGAGCGCTCCGCGCTCGGCGGCGAGCAAACAAGGAGGTTGCAGGTTGTATACTCTGCGCAGGTTGTGCCGACAGAAAAAGAAAGTTGCCGAAGACGAAGACGTAGACGAAGCGCCGAGACGGAGGAACCGAGGATCGAAAGGAAGGGTGAAGCGCGGAATCCACAAGCTCCGAAATCGCTCGCGGCCGCAGTCCCGCTCGCAAGCAGTGTCCGCTCGAACCTCCGCGCGCGCGCACGCTCTGTCCGATTTTTCGCGTTTTTCGGGATCGAGTGCGTTTTCCGCACACGCCTTGTTTCAAGTGCTCCAATGGATTAAAATTCCGCTCCCTTTCCGAGCTTCGATTTTTCGCAAGGATACGTGAGCAGACTAGCAAAGTGAGTTCATCCCACTATTTACCTTTCAAAATCACACTGGGGGAAAAAACTCTTGGATCTAGAGCACTGGAAAAAAACACATTGGATCTAGAGTCCAGACTCTTAAGAACATTGACAAAAAAAAATATCCTTGATTTAATTAGATTTAAGCTAAAATCAAGAACCGAGCCTCTTAATTTGAGCGAATCTCCTGTTGATTTAAGCTCAAATCTGATTGAATCAAGAGTCCTTTTTCTTATCAATGTTTTCAAGAGTCTGGACTCTATATACAGTGTGTTTTTTTCCAGTGAGTCCAGACTCTTAAAGACATTGACAAGAAAAAATACTCTTGATTCGCGATTTTCGCGTAAATCAATAAGAACCAAGCCTCTTAATTTGAGCGGATTGCCTTTTGATTTTAGCAAAAGTCCGATTGAATCAAGAGTGTTATTTCTTGATATTGTTTTCAAGAGTCTGGACTCTAGATCCAAGTGACTTTATTCCAGTGCAACAATTAATGAAGAAAATAAGCTCGAAATTTTCTTCTCGTCGCAGGTCCATGGTCAGGAATTCTGACAAATGCCGATCAAATTTTGGAAGTTTAACATATTTTTAAAAATAAAACGTTTTAATGTTTTGAAAGTATTCTTATGTCAAATACCTAACTGATTCATTCTTACATTTTACCCTTAGTTATGTTCTTATTGAAATCTAAATGGTATAATTGTGAATAATTTATGTTTTTTGAAACAAAAAAGTAGGTTTACAAAATTTTGATGTGAATGCTGCATTTAACGACTGAAAACTAATTGAAAAAACCTAAAAACAGTCTAATATTCAGAGAAGAATCTTTAATTGCATTTTCAAAGTATCGTACAATCGATTAGCGAAAGTAAGCAAAACACTCTTATTTAAGCTGAAATGAGTATATTGGACTCCATCAAGCCTTGTAAATTTTGTTACGAATAATGCTTTCATCGATACAAAAAAAGGGAGATGACGAAATCGACAGATGGGAATAGAACACAGCTCCCTACTTATTGCTTAGTGAGTGTCGACAATTTTTTAATGCAAGTTTGAGCAATGTTTGCGTATAGATAAAGGTCTGGTGATACACGTGTGAGCATAATAGTGGACAAATGATAAGAAAGCTATATTTAAAGCGACTCTCCAGTCAAAACATTAAATCTAGGTTGTGACAACTTGCGATACAAACTCGTCCGCGTGCATGCGAGTGTGTCGGTAAAGATCGAGAATTCAATTAGCGACCACCGCTACTTTCCCCGAACGGGCCATCGAAGTGGAAGCATACGTCCAAATTTAGTTGAGGTAGGAGACAAGTTGTGTCTGCGTTTAATCATCCTTTTGAAAGTTACTGAGCTCCTCGAAACAAATCACCCAAGAATTGATTTTGCGTTAAAAAGGAGAGCCCAAAAATTTTTGAAAATTGTGAATTCTGCGGTAATATTATTCAAGGTTTAAGACGAATGAGTTCCGCCCTCTCTGGGGGAGGGTTGAGCGGTTGGAATGATGAGCCCATGTTATCGAAAAATCTGCGATGGCTTCGGATAATTTTACTGAGATTGGTCCTATAGGCGTAAGTTTTCCAAATCTCTAATCCAGTTGTCACCCTGTGGTTGACATTTATCTCACTTTTCTATCCTTGCGTTTAAGTCTCTTGGCTATTCGCCTATTAATTGAGTTTCAATCGCCTTCCTGATATGCTGTGTTACTCTCACCTACTATTGGCCTCCCCTATGAATTAGTTTAGACTGTTCTTTTGACTTTAGCAAAGTAATTCTTGAAGTGAGTGCATCATAGTAAATCCTTTAGATTATAGTCAGGCTGACTTACATCCATTGGTGAGCATATCTTGAGAATGTTCTTAAACTTTTTCGCACATTTTTATTTTGCAAATAAGATGTCTTTGCTAATTTTCAAAGGGCATCTGTAAATGCCGTGATGCATTTTTCGGTCATTATTGTTCCTAACCGAGGAGTAAAAGTCCGCGAATAAATTGTGCACTCACATCTAAGGTTCAACAAAGTAAAGCCTCAAAGTATTTGAATGCAGGGTCTTACGCATTCATAGTCCTCAGCTTTTATCTCCTAAGAATACATTCGGTCATTGTATTGGAAATTTTTATCGGTGATGTATCAAGTGTGCTCACAGCTGACTCCATGAATGAGGCTGTAAATTGAATTGCGCTATCGGATTACACTAGGACCGATCTCTTATAAAAGCTGATTATGAACGCACGGTGGTCAGATTTCAGGTACATTATTTCAGTGGCGTTGCGTGCTTTGCGATGTATTGATTGATCTGCCACTTAAGCCTATGGAATAGGATTTTTAAAAAGGGTACTCGTAACTTTGAAACGAGCCTAAAATTATAAAAAAAACCATGTGGATCATAAATTTCAAATAGTCTTGAAATCACTCGATTTAAGGAAGTTAAAGTCATATAAAACAATTCAGGTTAAAAAGACTAATCTTATTATCTATACAGCAAGAAGACCGAGAATTAGAAGAATTAGAGTTAAGAAAATCTATTTTTGACTCTAATTATAATTTTCGGAATTTCTCGGATTGGTTTTCCCCGCGAAATGGTGTGGACCTAGCACCATTTCTCCACCTTGTTACATACAGTATTCGGGCCACTTCTTAGTGTTTTTTTTTTTCGTTTATCTATAATGCTTTTTTGGCGTCGTTGAAAGCGAAATCCGAACGACAGTCTGTGACTCCATGAGAACCAATCAGAAATGTATCCCACACGTCTTAACTCTCACTACAAGGAATCTATGGATAACGCGGCAACGTCGGGAGCTTGGTGCGCGAGCTGCCGATGAATAGCAGCGATTGGAAGCCCCTCGGAGAACATTATTTCAGCTACAAAGTGAGGATAATTGGACGCTGCGCCCGATGGCAACGGTTACTTGCATCACGTGCTGCCGTCTTCCAAAGGCCCTCGGATCGATATCCGTTCATCGGAGAGCTCTTACTTTAAAAGCCGAGCGTTCTCCGTCACGTATTTTGGCCATAGACTCACATTTCGTGAGATACACTCGCTGCGTCGCACAGTGGATCAAGCCAATGGGAGAGGTCGGACATTAATATTTGGAATATTTTTAAGGGAAACTTTAAAAGCTTATAACTCCATTCATACAAAACTTTGAGGTTTTAAAAGTGGTTCCATTGGTTTTCTCGTGAAATTTCCCGTATGAAGCACCCATAAAACTTTAAAATATGACAAATTAAACATCAAAATTTGCAGTTTTGGTAAAAAATTTCATGTCCGACTTCTCTCATTGACTGGATCCTTTGTGCGTCAGGGCACAAAAATTCGACGACTGGATTATGAAATCAAGCTGTATGTACCACACAACCGTGCACGCGAGAACGCCGTATGACTCATCAGACGTTGTCAAATTTCCCTCGACAAATCATGAATTTTCAGGAAAATTTGTGAATATTTCATCTCCGATTTTTCATTGGATTTCGTTCTCAATTTGATATAGAAATTCTGAAAATTTGAAATAAAAATATTCATAACTTTCCTTAAGAATGAATATTTTTAGAGAATAAATTTGACAACATTTGAACGCTTTTAAGGCGTTTTTACTTGGCACAGTACATTAGTGACGGCATAATTGCGCTCCCCCGATTTCTTTAATTCCTCGTTATGATTTTCGTCCGACGTCATCTAAGGTTGTTTTTAATTTTATGAGCTTTAGAACAAAATCGAATCTAAGACTATGCGTACATACAGGGTGACCCAGAAGTCCTGCTCCGCTACTATAAACCTCAAGGTTTTTACCTATTTCCGGGGAGATCCCATGAAATTTTGAAGGGTCCCAAAAGCAGTTTCTAACATTGAAGAATTCACAAAATTTCAAGTATCTATCTCGATTTTTTCAAAAGTTGCAGGAATTATGCCTTCAAATTTAGCCTTCAATCTCGTCTATTTGTGATCGATTTGTTTACTTTTGTTTTTCCATTTTTATCAATTATTTTTACATTCTTTCTCTCTCTCTTGCTAGTCAATCATGCACTGATATGTTTCTATATTATTATTGTAGTTTATGGTTTGTCATTTTTTGATACGCTGAAGGTGGAGTTAATACTCTGAAATGTTTACGTAATAAATTTAATTTTAACAATTCCGTGGCTCAGCTATATTTTCTCCTGGTAATTTGTGTAAAAACCATGCATAATGCATCTCCGTACGTGCGTAAGTAAAAAATAGATACTAATTACATAAACCCTTCGTGTAAGTACGCGCTTTATCTGAATGCAGTTCTGTTTTTCGTTGAATTCAGAGTTAAATATGTATTTTCTTGTTTCCTCTTCAAATCCGTGTGATTATACTCATCGTCCTCTTAAAATTTTCGAGAAAGAAAAAGATGGTGTCCTCACCCGATTATCAAACCCTGCAACATCTCCATAACTTCACTTTCCTTCTTATAGTGGAGACTGATATTAATTACGCAGAGCCAAGCGAATGGTTAATAAGCGACTCATTATATCCTGATAAGCAACTCATTGGCCGCGAAATGCCACCTGAGTGCGGGTAATTACCTTCCGTTATAACGAGCAATCAATAGCGGGTTTTATAAATCAATAAATTCTGATGATTATTTCCTCATCAAAAAAGTGCACTACAAAAGTTCCTCTAAAATTTTAGGTCTGGTTGGATGAATTTCGTTTTTCCTCTTTTTTAATAGATTATACTGCCATGCTAAGGAAGAACGCCGTATGAGCCATCAGACGCTGCCATATCTCCTTCAATAAAAACTTAATTTACTAAGAAAATTGTTAATATTATTTTTCAATTTTCTCAGACAATGTTATTCGCAATGTAATCTGAAATGTCTGAAAATTTTCAGAAAAATACGCATAATTTTCTTTAAAGATTTGTTTTATCCGAGGCAATTTGGCAACTCTCGAATGTTCATACGGCGTTCTTCCTTAGCACGGCAGAATATTGTCATGAATTGGTACTGATATTGGAAAGGCGGTTTA